CCTTGTTAACTTAAAAAAATCTTTACAATGTCAGCTAACAGAAGAGAAAATTTATAGTTGCTATTCTTAACATTTGACATATCAGGAGTTTGTGCATATTTTCAAGTGCAGTGCCAGACTAGTCATTACTGACAAAATCAGTGTTTATTATTTATTTCTGAGCAGCAAATGACTCCAGTACTTTGCAGTGAAAAACAGTAAAATTTTATTAGCATAGAATTTCAGAGCATCAGTGATCCAAATGCAGCATTGCCAGATGGTCTGGCATGTGTCCTTTCCCGAGGTTTCACTCAAGATACTGGTCCACACTCAGCTGAAGACCTGCCTGGGGCTGGTGGGTTTGCTTCCAAGGTGTCTTACTCATAGAGCTGTTGCCAGCCGTCCTCATGCCTTGCTTGACGTTCTAGGAAGCCTCAGCTCTTTATTGTGTAACTGCTTTGCTATATTCATGACACTGATCTCAGAGATGATCCATGAAAGCAAAATGAAGCCCTAATGTGCTCCATAATCTACCTTTGGAATTTGCCCATGGGAATGTCTTCTAGATAGTGTGGATTGTATAGGTCAGCTGTATGTCATACATATGGGAACGTCATGAACACAAGTCCCAGGGGAAGGTTCCTTCTGTAAACCATTACAAAAACTCTTACAGAAACATAGCTGAAAAGTCCCCACTGAGGCACAAAATGCTTTGTTATGAACAAGCTGCCTTTGTGCGTGCCTCATCAGACCCAGGCCTCCTCTTTTGTAGACAACAAATAGGACTAGATTAAGAGAATGTTTCTCAGTTTTGTTTCTTCATGGTGAAAATAATTGAGTACCAATTGGCTATGTTTGTATTTTGAATATTCTTCAAAGTTCCAGATGTTAAGGTTTGGTTTCAAGCTTAGTGTGGCTACAAGATTGGGGACTCTTTCTGAAGGAACCTAAGGGAACATTTTAGATCACTTGGACCTGACCACAAGAGAGATAATGTGTCTTAATCATTTGTGCTTTGGCTTACTCACATCTTGTCCATTAGGTAATTAACTTTATTATACACTGCCTTGTGGCCCTGCTCAGCTATGCTCCTTGTTGTTAGTTGATATACTTGATATTGACAAAAAAATGCATATTAATGTTTTCCCATGTGTTTTTATGCCATGGTCCCTAGTATGTAGAACATTCATCTAGATTCAGGAAAGAGGAAAATCATACTTTCAAGGAAAAGCTATGCAAAGTATGAATTACTAAAATAGGGGCTACTTTCCATTGAGCAACAGGAAACTCTCACTCCCACCTCGGCTCTCTACCCAGTGATGCTTGAGTTTGGCCTGGACATTTGTCATTTTACTCTAACCTCTAGCAAACCTACTGACAGCATAATATTCTCGAAGTACAAACAGAGAAATCACATATGTAAATTGTGGTCTTAAACCTAACTGTGATAGGTCAATATTGAAAGTTATTAGGTTTGATTTGTTTGGGTCAGTAATTACAAGGGTTTACTTCTGTCACATTGTATATCTATTTCATGATTTGTATACACTTAGGTAGAGAAAAGTATTTCTTCATCTGGTCAATTTTATAAAGAATATGAGAAGGAATACATGAGAATGTCTTGACATTGACTTTATATAAAGTTTATTCTTCCTATGAATAACAGTGGAATGAAAATTTCACTGAGTGACCACAAAGTAATTTTTCCATCTTTTTCATTTAAATTTGCTTTTTATAGTCATGGCTCCTTGTGGTGAAACCATTTTTTGCATTTTCAGAAACCAGATAACAACATTAACTTCATCTGGATGTTTTCATTTTTCCATATGTGACATATAGAGCTGCTGTTTCTTCACTGAACAAACACAGTCATGGTCAATTTACTTCATATATTTGTACGTGTTTATAAAAGTCCCCAAATCAATGGACCTGCATTCAACCACAATTACTTACTGTATGATGTTCCTTTAAAAATCCTGTAATTATGAAATATAATTTAGCCAGGATTGTAAATTTTCTTGGCAAAAAGAAGTTGCAGCGAGAGTGAAGCTCCTTCCTATAATACATTTTTTCTGAACATAAAAATCTAGGAAAAATACTGACTTCTTTCATTGTTCTGTCCAAGTCAGCTTTTACCACTGTGTAAAGAAGGTTAATAATTTTAATGTACAACTTTCTCATTATAATACTTTATTATAACACAGAAATACTTTTACTTATAAATTGTGGCTTATATGAAATATAGTAAAGACATAAGAAAATTTGATGTGGTTAATTTAAGGGCGTAGGTGGATAAAGATTATTTTCCAGATTTTTTTCTGGGGCTCAAATAGGTAAGAAAAATTAAACATTCATAATTAATGATATTATTAATATGATTTGTGATAGGGAAATATTCTGGCTTCTAAGATTTTTACAGTAATTTGATATTAATTTATGAACTGTGAAGACATAGAACTGAAAACAATCTAGAAAGAGGTAGTTCATTAGTTATATATAATTAAAAAGGTTCTCATGTTTGAAATGAAAAAAGCTATGGAACCATATGAGTTCAGAACAATTTTAAAGAACATCTGAAATCTTTAACACAGAGTTTGGAAAGCAAATGAGGCAAGTATAAGTCTGGGATACAGGAGAAAATAGTTTTAGTCTTTGAAAAATGTAGGCAAACTTCCTGATGTGTGCTCACACAGACACAGGCTATAAATGGATCACTGTGACTCCCCTGAGTAGTTTCATTTTCAGATAAATTTAGAAAAATCCTATATCTCTTCCCAAGTGAGCATCAGTGAAGTTGGAACTCTTTCCAAAGGATCATAGAAGATTTACTTAGAATTTGCATTTCTGTTGTTCTAGGAAAGTCAGAGAAGTACTTGGATGGAAGACATTAGTTCAGGTTTTTTGTTGTTGGTGGTTCTTTTTTTCTTTCTTTTCTTTTTTTTTTTTGTAAATTCTGCATTCATGAGCTATGTGTAAAACTTTATGACACTAGACCAAAGAACAGGCGCTTCCGATTCTAATAAGCAGTATGAAAAGTATGGTTTTGCTAGGTCTTTTACAGTTTAAAGAACCTAACAGTTGTTTTCTGTATCAACAAACAGGATGGAAAAACTGACCATCATAGAAAGTAAATAATACCCTAATGGGGAATGTACTACTAAGTATGTTCGTCTTATTGATTGTTGAGTAAAGTACTGTTTGCCCAATGAGGCAGCAAGTTAGATGGGACTAGGAGTCAGAGAGGATTCTGGGAAATGTAGTAAAGAAGTGATGATCCAGGCAGGAAGTGACATAGCAGGGAGACTCATACATAAACAGAGGAAGAAGGAAGTGGGCTCTCTCTTCCTCCAGATTCACCATGTGATCCACCGGCAAGGGAGAATGCCAATGGAAGGCGTCCGATAAGATAAGTCTTACAAAATATATAGATTTATGATAATTAAGACTGAGCTAACAGATGAGAACCCTAGTCACTGGCCAAGCAACATTTGTACCTAATGTAAGTCTCTGTGCATTAATTGGGGTCCTAACTCCTCGGACAGAACTCAGGCGGCTGGTGGAGACTGCCCATGTGGTGATAGGGTTTGGGTGGCTTTTGGCAGTAAGATTTATCGTAACATACCCAAGCAAAACAACAACAACCAAAGAGGAGGAAAAGAGCCCCAAGAGCAGGCAAAAGAGTCACAGACATACCACACTTCCTTTTAGGAGTACCACAAAAACACCAAACTAACTGTCAAAACTTACACAAACCAGGACCTGGAGCTTGCATCTTCAGATTCTGTGAGTTCACATGCACCTTAATTATTTGATTCAGTGGGCCATGTTCTTCTGGTCCCCTCCATACCCTCTGATTCCTACACCCCACCCTGACCCTCTCTGGATTCCTTGAACTCAGAGGTAAAGAGACACTATTGAGACCTCCAATTTAGACTCTCACTCTGTCTAAAGTCTGGCTGTGGGTCTCTACTCTCTACTTCCATCTACTGCCAGACAACTGGACAAGGCACCAATCTCTCAATATAGCAGAATATCATTAGGAATCATTTCATTGATATATATATATATTTTGGCCAGTCATGATTGGTTCCACCCTAGGTACCTGGGCTATCTAGTCTTCAGTTCCTAGCCATTCAGTCAGTGTTGGGCATGGGTTCCCTTGATCTCAAGTTAAATCAGACATTGGTTAACCATACCCATAAGTATTCTATCAACATGGCCCAAATACATCTTGGAGGTAGGAAAGATTGTTGGTCAAAGGCTTTATGGCTGGGTTGGTGTCCTGTTTTCTCTTTTGGTAGCATGTGGAGTACCTTCCCACATCACAAACTCTAGCATGTAGAGGTCATTATATGGAGGCACCAGCTCCACTGCTCCCTGTTCAATGAGCTCTGAGGAGGTCAATGGGTCACCACTGTCATTTATAGCTAGCATCAGCCTTTGTGCTAGCATCAGCCTTGACTGTTTGTGGACCTCCATGTTACCCCCTTGGACCAAAACTCAACTAAATGCAACCTCGTCCAAGCACAGGAAGCCTTATCTGGCTATGAAAGATGGTATTTGAGACTCATCCCTGTAGCCAGCCCCTAAGTAGGTGTGGCCATGCCTTCTTAGGGGCTGGCTACAGGTATGCCTGACCACATCCCCATTACTATGAGTCCTTACTTCGATTACCCTCGTATAATCCAGAAATTTTCTATTGTAATAGCTATCCGCAGTGCCCTGACTCAAGTTCCAGTCATCTCTCCCAAAACTCTCTGTGTCCATTCTTACCTCAACATAAACCCAGCCACACTGAACCTCTTAGAAGAGAAAGTGGGAGGTACCCTTGAACAAATTGGTACAGGACGCCACTTCCTGAACGTAACACCAGTAGAACAGATACTGAGATCCACAATTAATAAATGGAAACCAAGAAGCTCCTCTAAGGCAAGGACACAGTCAACAAGACAAAATGGCAGCCTACAGAATGGGAAAAGATCTTCTCCAACCCCACATCTGACAGAAGACTGATTTCCAACAGAGAACTCAAGAAGCTAGTCACCAAAACACCAAACAATTCAATTAAAAATTAAGGTACAGAACTAAATAGAGAATTCTCAACAGAGGAATCCAAAATGGCTGAAAGACACTTAAGAAAGTGTTCAACATCTTTAGCCATCAGGGAAATGAAAATCAAAATAACTTTGAGATACCATCTTACTCCTATCAGAATGGCTAAAATAAAAAACACTAATGAAAACTTATGCTGGAGAGGATGTGGAGAAAGGGGAACACTCCTCCACTGCTGGTGGGAGTGCCAACTTGTATAGCCACTTTGGAAATCAGTATGGAAATTCCTCAGGAAAATGGGAACCAGTCTACCTGAATATCCAGCAATTCCACTCTTAGGCATATATGCAAAGGATGCACATTCATACAACAAGAACATCTGTTTAACTATGTTCATAGCAACATTATCTGTTTAGAATTTTATCCCATTTTATCATTGGATTATTTGTTTGGGAGTATCTAGTTTCTTGAGTTCTTTATATATTTAGGATATTTGACCATTATCAGATGTGCAGTTGGTAAAACTCTTTACCATTCTCTAGGCTGCTGCTTTGTCCAATTGACAGTGTACATTGACTTATAGAAGCTTTGCAGTTTCATGAGGTTTCTATTTATTGTTGATATTAGTGCCTTTACTACTGGTGTCCTGTTCAGAAAATCATCTCCTGTGCCAATGTTTTCAAAGTTATTCCCTGCTTTCTCTTCTATCAGATTCTGTTCTTCTGGTTTTATGTTGAGGTCTTTGATTCATTTTTACTTGAATTATATGTGGGGTGATAAATGTGGATATACTTACATTCTTGTACATACAAGATTCCAGTTGACTAGCACTATTTGTTGAAGATGTTTTCCTTTTTTCACTGCGTATTTTTGACTACTTTATAAGCAATCAGTTGTTCATAAGTGTGCAGAATTTTGTCTGGGTCTTCAATTTGATTCCATTTATCAACATGTCTGCTTTTTATGCCAGTACCATGTAGTTTTTATATATGAAGTTGAGAATTGTCCCTTCAAGTTCTGTAAAGAAAGTGTTGGAATTTTCATGGGAATTGCATTTAATCTGTAGATTGTTTTGGTAAGGTGGCCATTTTAGCATGTTAATTCTACTGGTCTGTGAACATAGGAGATCTTTCAGTCTTCTGATATCTTCTTCAAAGACTTGAAGTTTTTATTATAGAAGTCTTTCACTTGCTTGGTTAGAGCAAACTGTTAGAGAAAACTGTTGCTTCCTTGATTTCTTTCTCAGTCCCTTTGTCATTCATATATCAGAGGGCTATTAGTTTTTTTGAGTTAATCTTGTGTCCAGCTATTTCCATTGAAAATGTTTTTCAGCTGTAAATGTTCCCTAGTGGAATTTTTTAGGTCACTTATGTGTATTATTATCTCATCTGTGAATATTATTCAGGTGATAATCTTCAGTTGTCTTATTGTTCTAGGTAGAACTTTGAATACTATCTTGAATAGATATTGAGAGACAAGACCATCTGGTCTTGTTCCTGAATTTAGTGGAATTTCTTTGAGTTTCTTTCCATTTATTTTGATTTCACTATGGGCTTGCTATAAAGTGCCTTTATTACGTTAAAGCATGTGCCTTGCCTCCCCCATCTCTCCATAACTTTTATCATGAAGGGGTGTTGGACTTTGTCAAAGACCTTTTCTGCATTTAATGATATCATCATTTTTTTTTCAGTTTGTTTATACGGTAGATTACATTTACTGATTTTCAAATACTGAATCATTCCTGTATCTCTGGGATGAACCCTGCTTAGAAATGGTGGATGATCTTTTTGATGTTTTCTTGGATTTGGTTTGTTAGTGATTTATTGAGTATTTTTTTGCATATATATTCATAAGAAAATAGATCTGTTTTTCTTTCTTTTTTGAGTCTATGTGGTTTGTGTATCAGCGTACTTGTGGGATCATAAAATGAATTGGTCAATGTTCCCTCTGTTGCTTTTTGTCCAATAATTTGAGGAGTGTTGGATTTAACCCTTTGAAAGTCTTGGAGAATTCTGTGCTAAACTGGCTGGGATTTTTATGGCTCAGTGATTTTAATGACTGCTTCTATTTCATTAGGGGTTATAGATCAATTTACATGGTTTATCTAATCTTGTTTTAACTTTGGTACACATTACCTATGGAGAAAATTATCCAATTCTTTTAGATTTTTCTGTTTTGTGGTGTACCAGTTTTTAAGTATGTCTTCATGAATATCTGGATTTCTTTGGTGTCTGTTGTTATGAAAGGGGTTTTTCATTTCTGATTCTGTTAATTTGGATATTCTCTCTATGCCTTTTATGCGATTTGGGTAAATGTTTGTCTATCTTGTTGATTTTTCTCAAAGAAGCAGCCCCTTGTTTCATTGATTCTTTGTCTTGTTCTTTGTTTCTATGTTATTGATTCCAGCCCTCAGGTAGATTATTCTGTTTGTTCTTGAGTATGTTTATTTATTTTTGTCCTAGAGCTGATAGGTGTGCTTTAAGATTGCTAGTATGAGATCTCTCTATTTTTTTGTGTAGCACTTAATATTATGAACTTTCCTCTTTGCGCCATGGCTTTCATTATGTCCCATAAGTTTGGCGTGTTGTGTATTTGTTTTCATTGAATTCTACGATGTCTCTAATTTTTTTTTAAATTTCTGTCTTAAACTATTTCTGGCATCAGTAGAGAATTGTTCTGTTTCCATGAATTTGTAAGATTTCTGTTACTTTTTATATACAACTTTTATTCATATTGTTCTGATAGGATGTAGGAAGGTATTTCAATTTTCTACTATCTGTTGAGACTTGTTTGTGTCAGAGTATTGGTCATTTTTGGAGAAAGATCCTTGAGGTGCTGAGAAGACTGTATATTTTCTTGTGTTCAGTAGGAATGTTCTATAAATATCTTTTAAGTTCAATTGGTTTATAACATAAGTTAGCTCCAGCATAACCTTGTTTAGATTTTTGTCTGGATGACTTGTCCATTGGTGAAAGTGATGTATTGAAGTCTCCCAGTATCAGGGTGTAAGGGATGATATGTGGTTTAAGCTGTACTAGTTTTTCTTTTATGAAAGTCTGAGCCCTTGTGTGTGAAGCATAGATGTTAAGAATTGAGATGTTATCTTAGTGGATTTTCTATTTGATGAATATGTAGTTTCCTTTCCCATCTATTTTTGATTAGTTTTGGTTTGGTATCTCTTTCTGTAAATATTAAAATGGTTATACCAGCTTGGATCATACATCCATTTGCTTGGGATATGTTTTTCCAACCTTTTATCCTGAAGGACTATCCTTGATATTGAGGTGTACTTCTTGGATGCAGCATAAGGTTGGATCGTATTTCATATTCATTCTCATACTCTGTGTTTTGGATGGGGGGTGGAGGGAATTGAGACCATTGATATTGAGAGATATCAGTGACCAATGACTGTTGATTCCTGTTATCTTATTGGTGGTGATGGTGGTTATGGTGGTGTGTGTGTGTGTGTGTGTGTGTGTGTGTGTTCCTTCTTTTGGTTTTGCTGATGTGAGATTATTTCTTATGTTTTCATAGGTGTAGTTAACCTCCTAATAACTTCCGTAGGGCTGAATTTGTAGTTAGATATCGTTTACATTTAAATTCATCATAATTAAATTCATCTATGGTGATTGAAAGCTTTGCTGGGTTTTGGCAACTGAGGTGTCTTAGAATCCTTGTCCCATCTGTCTAGGTCCTTCTGGCTTTTAGTGTCTCCATTGAGAAATCAGGTGTTATTCAAATAGGCCACCTTTATATATTACTTGTGTTTTTCCCTGGCAGCGTTTAATATTCTTTTTGTTTTCTATGTAGTGTTCTGATTATTAGTTGGCAAGAGGACAATCTTTCATGGTCCAGTATATTGGTGTTTGGTATGTTTCTTGCACTTTTATAGGCATCTGCTTCTATAGGTTAAGAAGATTTACTTCTATGACTTTGTTGAAAATATTTTCTGATCCTTTGGGCTAGTATTCTTCCCTTTCCTCTATTCCTATTATTCTGAGGCTTGGTCTTTTGTCTTTTCAGTGTCCCATTTTTCCAGGATGGTCAGGAAATTTGTAGATTTTCTTTGACTAATGTGTTATTACTTGTGGTGTATCTTCAATTCCTGGGATTTTCTCTTTCATCTCTTATATTCTGTTGGTGAAGCTCTTTTTAATTCCTGTTCAAGTTCCTAAATTTTTCACTTCCAGAATCTCCTTAGGTGTGTTTTTTTCCTATTTCTATTTTCATAACTTGAACACTTTTGTTTCCTTCAACTGTTCCCCACACCCTTGGTTTCTTCTAGGGATTTATTCATTTCCTCCACTTGTTTTGCATTTTCCTTAATTTGGTTATGGGATGTATTCAGATCCTCTGTAAGGACCTCCATCAGCTTTATATAGTTAGCTTTAAGGTCTTTCTCTTGTGCTTCAGGTATGATAGAATATCCATGCCTTCTGTGGTATGATAATTTGGACTCCAGTTATTGACTGTGTTCTTCCACAATTATCTAGGCATTTGGGTTTGGGGTGATAATAGGTCTAGGCACTAATTTTTGGGTTTGTCTTTCTGGGTGAGTGTTTTGTTCCTTGATTTCTGTTTCTTCTCTGGATTTTCAGAAACTGTGATATTGGTGTGTTGCCTGTGTGTTCATGGAGAATGACTGCTGTGTTGGAGACTTGGAGATGCAGTGACAAGTAGGGAATGGTGTGGGAGTTAAGGAATGAGTTTTCTATGGGATTCACAGACAGTGTGGACAGAGAGGAGGGGAAGCTGCCGTTGGTGTTCTATTGTAGCACTAGGGAGAGCTTGAGAGATTGAGTCTAGGGGAACAGAAAGAGCAGAGGAGGTCTGTGGGCAGGGTACCTTGTCTTCTGGTAACTTGTCTTCTTTAAAGAAAACAGAGGGCCAGAGAGATTCCTTAGAGTTTTGGGGTGCATACTGCTCTTCCAGAGGGCTGGGGCTCACATAGTGCTGCTCACAACATCCTGTGTGGTTGCTCCAGGGAATACAATAACTCTGGCCTTGGTGAGCATCCATGCCCA